CTCTCTCTAAGAAACTCAATGGAAAAAATATCCCCGGGCGAGGCGCCACACACACACACACACACACACACACACACACACACACATTTCCGCTGTCTTCAGAAGGGAGCGTCTTCTTGCTCTTTCCAGGAGGTCACGTGTCCAGCCGGCCTCCTCCAGAGCAGGAGACATTCCTCAGGAGCTCCCCTGAATCGGGCTTCTGTTCTGTATCAGGCCCCAAGTGGCCGGGCGCACTGTTTACAAGATCTCCCGCAGCTTCTCGGGGTGACCTGGTTTCAGAGAGCGGGTCCCGGGTGACACTTGAAAGCCGCCCGGCTCCCCAGACGGCGAGCAGCATCCGTCTGCGAGGCGCAGGCTCTGCGACGTGGAGAGGGCCAGGCGCTCTGCGGAAGGGGGCTGCCCTCGGAGCTCTCGGGTTCCTGAAGGAGCCTGGTGGAGCTGGTTGTTAGTTTGTGCAGGCCCATAGGCTCCATTAGGCCTCTGCCTGATTAAAAACAACAATAAACGAAAAAGGGAAAAACACACACCTTCGAATCACAAGATGCCAAAAAAGGGAGAAGCAAAACTGTAGATGGCCTTTGCTCCCAGGGGAACATAAAATCCAACACATTACTTTTTTGTTTTCTGGTGTCTTCCCCCCGCCCCCCCCAGGTCATCCAGAGGCGGTGTTGCTATTGGAGGGGACGAGCCGCCGGCTGAGGACGCTGGAAAGCTGTGCGAACGCAGGAGAGCCGGGCTGCTTTTCTTCATTAAAATGTACGCAGACAGGCTTCACGGCGGTTCTTTTCTGTTCGTCTCCTCCCCAGCTGTCCAACAGCCCAATTCTTTTTAAGGGGAAATTTTATGAATGCGCGGAGACAGGTTTTCCTTTGGATCCCGCTGAAGGATGAGCGTCTCCTCCAGTCAGTCCCGGGGGCCCGGGGCAGAGCTTTCTCAGACGCACGCTCTTCGGATGGGCTGAGGACGCGACGAGAAAACATGGGGCGTGCGATCTGCCCAGAGGTCTGGAAGAATTCACGCTCTCCGCTCCGGGCCTGGTGGGAGATGTGGAAACCCAGCTCCCTGGGAGGATCACATGATGATATAAGGGAAATCCGTAGCGTGGGCGGGAGATGGAGATGAAAGGGAAACAGGGAACTCGGGGGGGAAGCTCCGCTCCCAGCCCCACTCAGGGAGACACCAGGGCTGGTGAGAGCGCGGGGCCCACTTTATCCCGTCGGCGCCGGCCAGGCACCAGCTTTCTCCAGGGAGCCGGAGGAGCCTAGCGAACGGCCCCCGCAAGCCGGTGGCTGCCGACCCGCAACGTGCGGCCTGTAGGAGCGCTTGTGAATCGCTCATAAAGCCGTTTCTCCCTCATTAAGTATTTTCATTCCGTGGTCCTTGAAAATGAAGCACATTTTAATATCATTCTAAGCCTCGCATTCAACAGATACGTTCTCAGCGAACAATGAGAGGACCGGCTTCTCTGCGAAGCGGGGTGTGGACAGCAAGCCTTCGCCCGCACCTTCCAGCATATTCCTTCTCTGTCCCGAAGGGAGCCGGTTGGTGCACGCACGGCTCGCAGGGACTCACGCGCGTTGTCTTGGTTTACCGCAGGTTTAAAGAGCTCAGAAGTGCCACGTTGAACCCAAAGAAAGAAGTGGCAACACTACTATCCCTTTGGAAGGTCTTTTACACGCCGCTCGACCTAGTCCAACTGCTCTTCTCAGGCTCCCCGAGGAGCTGTGATTTTATTCTAAACGGGGCGCGGGACAGGGAAAGACCGACAGGACCCACCTGAGGTCACGCACTCGCCCTTGGGGATGGAGCTCTGCCACTAGGATATCCGGTTTTATTTTATCTGTTTCAGCAAGCTGAGAGAAAGCCACAATTCCCCCAGCTTCGCTGTATCCCTCTGACACATGATATTGTAAAATAAGGTTTGTCTATGAGCGAAAGTCTTTAGGATTTTTCTTTAAGTTTTTGATTTCTGTACTTTTGTTACCACACAACACACACTAAAGATCAGTGGGCAGTACTTTTTTTTTTTTTTTAATGCATCTTTATTGATTTCAGAGAGCGGAAGGCAGAGAGGGAGAAACATCCATGATGAGAGTCACCGATCGGCTGCCTCCTGCAGGCCCCCCACTGGGGATTGAGCCCGCAACCCGGGCCTGTGCCCTGACCGGGAATCAAACTGTGACCTCCTGGTTCGTGGGTTGACGCTCAACCACTGAGCCACACCGGCCAGACCATTGGACAGTATGTTTTCAAAAGTTTTGGTGGCCACTCTCTATGGAGCGCGGGGTGCCTTTCCCCACCCCTTACCCTCAGGTGTGTTTTCCTCGCCTCTCTCTTTCTCCTAAGCTCCAAGAGACCTTCTTTTGCCCTTGCAACTTGTTTCCTGAGCCCATTTCTTTTACAGCTCAATTCTTCTACCTCTGTGACTTTTAAAATAAACTTATGCTTGTATTTGAACAAACAAAGTATTGGTGACAAGAAGCCTGATTTTGACGGCATGGCATCATTTATACCTAATTATCTGCAATGACACAGCTCCACATATGGTCCATGACACAAGCCTTCACACCCTCCATAGGCTCAGGCTGACATCACAGAGCTTGTGTGTGTGTATATACACGTCCACACCTCTAAGGTTAAGATGGTCCGGGTTTTTAGGAAGCTGTCCTTTTGCCATTTATGAGAACACGGTGTGTCATCAGGATAGCCCCAGGAGGCTATGACATCGCAATGCAATTCTGGGAGAAGTTCCACAAGGCCAAGTGCCTCAGGCACATTGGGAGGATGCTCGGGGGTAGGGACGTGGCCTCGGGCGCCTCTGATGCTGGTGTACTTGGTGCCTCTGGGCTTCTCCTTTGACGGATCTCAGCCTTTATCTCCTCATGTGTAAAACGAGGAGCTGGAATTAGACGTGTACAGGGTTTAATGCCAACGCCCTTTTGTCTCAAAGAGGTCATTACAGGAGGGGAGGAGGGCGAGGCAGGCTGATGCCTGGTGGAAAGTGAGTCCCAGTGGGTCAGGTTCCAGCAGGCCCCGTGGCCAGCCTGTCCCGTGGAGTGGGCAGGATGGCGGGTGGATAAATCTAGCCACAAGGAGGGATGCTGGAGAAGCCAGGGGTTGCCCAGACACTGTGGAGATGGGCCCTAAATCTCTAATTCGCAGTTCAAGTTCTAGTGCTGGTGGGGTGGGGGTGGGGGGCTGTTAGGAAGCAGTGTGGTGTTTTGGAAAGAGCTTGGGCTTTGGACTTTGGCAAGGAGAAGATTCTACTTTAAATCTAGTGCCTGTCCCAGGGATCCAACCTCTCGGCTTCTCATCTGTAAATGGGATAATAATACTGACCCCACAGATTGCTCTGAAAAATGAAGTAGCTATGGGGGAAGCCTTTTTAACACGCAGCAAGTATCCTGTGAATATCGGTCCCATGGCAGTGCTGGGGGATTTGGTCTGCCAAGGGCTTGGAGGGTGTCTTAGGGACTTGGGGAGCACCGTCCAGCATGGTTGGCAATTCATGAAGAACTACACGGAGGAATACTATAAGCATCGCCTCATTTCTTTCTCCCACGAACCGACTCGACAGTAGAGAGTGACTGCTAAGACACAAAGGCCTGCATTACAATCCTATCTCCCTTCACCTCTGTGACCTGGGCAGTTATTTAACTACCGTGAGCCTCAGTTTCTTCATCTGTGACATGCCCGGTCATCACAGGGCTCTGGCGATATTTACGTTAGGTTGATGTTCGTAAGCTGCCGAGAGGATGCTCAGCACATAGCAATTAGTTAATCACTGCTAACTGCTGTATTGATACCAGCCCCATTTTACAGGCAAGGAAACTGAGGCCCAGGAAATAAAACAACTTACTCAAAATTACACAACCAGGCAGCCAAACCACCAGTTTCTTAAACACATGCTTTGTCCAAAACTCACAACAAAATCTGAACCAGAGGAGACACTCCACAGAAAGCTCCGTCTTCCGCTGAGGATGGCACTTTTCCCTCTTTTGCTTTTGTCCCGTACCAAGGCCCTGCGCGCTCACGTCCGGGGAAAGACGTGGGTTTTATGAGGAAAATCCCGATGGTTGCCATTTTCCAAAGCTGTCATTTACTCTGACATCAGTTTGGAAGTCTTTGCATCCTACACAAAGAAATCAATCACAGACCTCAAATGAACAACGCTAAATGGGTAAAATGCTTTCCTCCCCCCCCCCCCC